TTTTTACTTCCCCCATTTTGTCTCTATTCTGCCAATAACCCTCTGGTGTAGCTCAATCACCATTTGTTCTCACTGCTAGAAATAAATCTTCAATCCCCCCCCCTTCCTCGGTTTCCCTAGTTTGCCACCTCTAGCCCCCCAAATATATATCAGCTCTGGAGACCCCATGACCCCCACTTCATCTGTATATTTAGTGAGATTTAAACAATAGTAAAAAAAAAAATGTTGGCCCCCTGACAACTAATCAGTCTTAGAACAACAACTACAACATAACAATGCCCCCAACAGCATTAACAAAATAAATGGATAATACAGAAACTCAGCCCTTCACCAATCATAAATGGTGACAAAGTCACTCACCCAGACAGCCTATAAATCAGAGCTTTTTTAAAAAAAAAACAACAAATCCTATCCACCTCCTAGAAGAACATATTGTCAACCTTCCCCCCACATCCTGTCAAATAGAGAGAGAAATAAGTATCTTGCCATTTTCAAGTACGACAGCAACTTCCTGGCTGGCTGAGTCATGGCTAAAAAAATCTTTAAAAACAGCAAGGAGTCCTTGTGACACCTTAGAGACTAACAAATTTATTTGGGCATAAGCTTTTGTGGACTACAGCCCACTTCACTGGATGCATGGAGTGGAAAATACAGTAGCAGGTATATTTATACATAGTACATGAAAAGATGGGAGTTGCCTTACCAGGCGGGGGTCAGGTTAACGAGACAATTTAATTATCAGTAGAATACCAATCACTTTTGTAGTGGTAATGAGAGTGGCCCATTTCAAACAGTTGACAAGAAGGTGTGAGTACCAGTAGGGGGAAATTAGGTTTTGTAATTCTCATGTTTGAGATATCAAGGAGGAAGTCAGTTGTTTGTTCACTCTGAAATAACTCCCAAGTCCCAACCTCTTTTTGATGGTTGATATTTGGGTGCAATGCAAGCCTTCTCCAACAACTCACTGCAAACAGAGGGGGAGGGGAGAGGGAGGGGGAGTCCACAAAGGGCAAGGACATAAGCCAGGAGCTAGCCGTACTAACCATTAGCACTTTCTTAGCATTATCAACTTCTGCAGAAGTGTAGCTAAACTGGAAAAAAAATGGGTTTGAGTCAATGATGAATAAAGAGAGCCTGAATGTTTTGTTTTGAATGCTCCATGTCCTTTTCACATTCAAGATT